TAATTTTAGGAGCTCTGTGAGCTTGATTTATATTTAAGATTTGTACTATCTATATATAGGTTAGTCTTTAATAACCATTTAGACATTGCTTCTTTTTATATAGGTCATGCATTCTCCTGGGAGAGTAAGCAGATTAGAAATAACAAATACAGTACAGAATAAATTAAAGTGCTTCAGACTGCATTATATAATTTCAGAAAATTGGTTTCACACTGGAATGTATAAATAAGAAAGCCCAAATGCATTTGAATTGCTATTGTTTAGTGAGTTTTATCCTTCTGTAATGCGGTACCTTTCCACAGTGCTCCGGCAATGTGGCAGTTCATTTGGGTCATTGTAGATAAAATCATTATTATTTCTCTTTACTTCTGGATGTTTTAAAAGAAAAGTTGGCTTCATTTTCCTTGAAGATGAAAAGCATTTATTAGTCAAAATGTCAGAGGTGTACCGTAAAAGTAATTGTGTTTTTATATATACTTCTCCAAACTCTTGTATACAAAATATTCTTATTACACTTGGTGCAATGAATTCAGAGGCTGTTAAAAGACAACAGATAGCAAAATTGGGGCCAATACTTTCTAATTACTTAGGATCATAAAAGCGGGCTTGGTTTTCCTCTCACAACAACATGAAGGCGATCTGCGGCTCTGGAGAGTCTATTATGTGGGCTGGTTTTGTTTGTTTCTGTGAAGTTTAGCGACACTCTCCTTGCGCCCCATCCTCAGACCTTTTTCAATTTTTCTATCCGTGCATTAAAGGCCTCTTCCTGTATTTGCAGCTTTTCGTTGATCTCGGTCTGTGAAGACAATCATAAAAAAGTGGTTATGCCGGCGCTATCTTTTGCTGCACATTGTCTTTGTGGTTTTGACACACTATAGTGCCTAAAGACAGACATTATCCCGCACACACCTTCCTGTTTTGCAGACAGAGCCGTGTTTCAGCCTGTAGTGATGTGATAACACTTTATCATATTTTTCTACACATTCCCAATGTATAGCATGTCTGCTATGAACAGGAAGTGGTATTTCGACAGCCATTTTTCACATAGCCTTGTCTTGGAAGATAGGATAATTTATCTGTATTTTCAGACAGACTTTACCAATAAGCACCGAATCAGAAAAACTGCTCTGGGCTCAGTTATTGCATTGTTGTTGGTCCCCCACCCCTTTGCAATGCATGTTTTTGTCTCCCTCATAAGCCACTAAACAGGAACCCACAAAGCTTCTTTGTGAAGTAACGACTCAAACCATCCCAGAATTAGAGCAAGTCGCATAAGGAAGAATTCATCATATATCCTAATCCACAGAATTATGCTCTTTGCAGCATATTTTTGGTAGGGATAAAAAATAGTCC